ACTAGTTCTACATCTTGTACCAAAACCCAGCAACATAGAACGAAGCCCCACGGCTCAATGTCTTTCAAGGTGGATTGGCGCACACCAGGCAGGGCCATGAGCGCCCGCGCAGATGCCACGAAGTCAGTAGAGCATGCTAGCTAGGAGTGACGGAGTTCAAAATGGTTTGTTTCAATGCTTTGCCATCATTAACATTGTATTAGGTCTAATTTGAGGCGGAGATGGATAAGCTACGAAGTGGATAATGTGCGGAGAGCTGCCCATGCCGCGCATGCTAAAGCGCTCTAGGCTCCAACCCACAGGATCGGAGAAACCATGTTGTTGTGCGCGCAGCTAGGTGTACCATACACCCTTCTGATGAAAGTAATTAGCTCATTTATCTCCGCAAGATCTGATGGGCGCAGTGTGCCATGATGGCGTGCTTCTTCAAAGTTCCATCTCAAGTAGCTATCAACACCAGCAAATGGTTTAGTCACTGCAGAGTGTCGGCCAGCATGTAGTACTTGTATAGCGGGCTATCTGGAGACTCTGAAACACTCAGCTTAGCAGTAGGTTTTCCCTTGGACAAACCGCAAGATGGGGCTAAATATGTATATCCAGCAGCCTTGTGATGGTGGTGTGCTCACGCGGAGACAAGACCTAGCAGCTTCAGTATCGCATCATGCATCCCAGATACCGGTTCAGATCTGATATTCTGGCTGACGTGTTCCACAGACCATATAACCTCCAGCATCGTGCTTTATGATAGCATTTCCCCTCTCGTTTCTTGCTCACATTCGCTCGCCATGTCCGCCATTCCTCACTACTTATTCCGCTCGTGCCGCAACAAAGACTGCGCCAAGGGCTGTGTTCTCTACATTCCTGTCAGCAATCCCGACTTTATCCCCTCCTTTAACATTTCTACGGCCGACCAACCGACCTGGATCGCTGTCCCTTGTAAGGGATGCTCGTGCCTTGGAAGTCAGCACTTGCACTCCGTCGAGTTCCCGGACCGTCCCAGTTCTTGCGGGGAGGCTAATGTAAGTGCTAACTTGGTATCTGTTGTCGGATCCTTTCGTTTGACATGGGACACCAGTATACCCATGCTACTCCGGAGCCGTCCATGCCATCGGCCTCGCAGGATGGTTTTGCGTCTACCTATACAGCACCGTACCCTGCTGCCGACCCTGAAGCTTTTCCTTCTACTGCTCATGGTCCTCCTTCTGGTGTCCGTCGGTCTGGTCCACGCTTTGGCTTCGCTTCTCGTGTCATGCAGTCAGCGTCGTTCAAAGCTCAAGCCCAGAAGCGAGAGGAGCGAGAGGCAGCTGCTAGTGGGAGCGGTGCCTCTACTAGTAATGCTTTTGATCCGACGGCCAAGGTACGTTACTCAACGCTACTGGGGTATTATAGTTATGCACTAACACGATGAATGAAGGCTTACACCACAGGATCTCAGCTCCATAGTAAGCCTGAACCTCGCAAGCGCAAGCGTGCCTCATCACCTAGCGTATCTGGGTCTGCGCCTGCCCACAAGCAGACGAAGAAGGAGGTCCGGGTTTCTATGGAAACGTACACCGTTGTGTTGGTCCCCGACACCGTAGATGCTCACTACGGCCTTTGTAAGCAGCCTAGTCTGTATGCGTAAGCCTCCCTACATATCAATTGTATAAGCTTTTGGTGCTCGAGGTTAAAGTCTTTTTGCAGCTTGCAACGTCTTGACAAGGAGGGCCGTGTCAAGAGCGTCTCTTTGCCAAAAGACAAAGTCTCTAACAAGGACATTGTCACCGCAGTTTGCAACACGTTCAAGGCGGACCCCAGGTTTGCTGTTATCGACTCTGGATGGCACCTGTTGCGGGTCTTATCGCAAGGCACAGGCCGCTCAGCCACGATGGAACTTATGGAGGGCGGCTCTATGAACGATATTACGTTCGAGGTCTGGAAGAAGTAAGTGACTACAACTTGAATCTCTATGTCGACAACTCTAGAGCTCATATTCTAACAGAGGAGTAAACCCGTCCATCCGCAATGCTGGCCCAGGCTACAGACACCCTGTGTTCATCGTTCTTGCCATGCCAAACTCTCCCAACGAAGTGCATGACAGTCCCAGTCATGACGAGCCTACACCATCTTCTGTTCATGACAAGACCGGTGCCGTGAGTCTTGTACAGACTGCCCATGCTATACCCCTGCTCAAGTGTTATTCTTTCACCTGCAGAATACCATGTCCACTCCATCGGAGCCTACTCATAACGACTATCCAGACTGGCAGGAAATGGTATGCTGTTCAATCTCCGTAGCTAGACCCATGTAAGCTAACACCCTTGATACCATCGCTTCAGCCAGTGCCGCAGGCCCACCAAGATCTCGTTAGACACCTTCACTACATGCATCCTCCTCCAGTCGACAGTGAGGATGTCGATGTCAGTTGGGTACGTGTCAAGCTATCAAAGACTTCGGTGATAGATATATTGACCTCTCGGACTAGTGGCCTGAAAGCCTCACTCTTCAGTCACCATTCAACACGTTCTTCAGTCAGAAGAAGCTGATCGAGTTCGCACTGCGAAGAATGGAGCCAGGCACTCCAACATATAGTGGTGTCGATGATGAGGACCTTGTTACGAAGTGGATCCCTGAGGTTGTCTTTGACCCTCTGGCTTTTATCGTCAGGCTAGCTACCGAGCTCAAAGTCCTCGAAGAGCCTAAGACGCTATTGAGTCGGACACTCGAGAAGCGTTTCGTGAAGGACTTTGCCCTTGGTCCGTTTGGTCTTCATGGCGTTATACCTATCCTTGATCAGCTCTATGGGTTTGTTATCTACTACGTCCCCCTTCCTGCTCACCACCGGTCCACCGCGTACGATCACCTAGAGCTCATCTCTCAGTGCGCCTTGGCTTTGGTCAAACACTTCAAGTACGTCAAACCTCGCTGGCAATACGATCCTCCTGGCCCATTCAGAGACCTGAGCAAGGTCTACGACGAATGCGAGGAGTTTCTAAAAGTACGTACTCAGCTTCCTTACGAATGATGAACAGTCAGGATGAACTAGCAACACTGTACAGGACGCCACTCATGCAGACTGGAACTCGACCCCGATGAAGACATTTGCTGGTGGCAGTGGACTTCAATACGTTACGCCGCAGGAGCTGGTAGAGATTCTCACTCAGTCATTCGGACATGCCTCTGACGCCTCAGCAATGAACGAGTACTCGCTCAAAGCTGGGGAGTTTGGGGTTGGTGGGGTGTTCAGTGACCTCGTCGAACCGCTCCTGGATTGGCTGCCCTTGACGCATCCTGGGTACAAGCAGTACTATCAGACACTTGAGGTATTCTGCTCGGCACTGGCCAGTCGACTTCGTACACATCTTCAGGTAAGTTGTCATCATTAGTGTTAACATGTAAGGCTCTCGTTGACAGGCCTAATTCCTTGCAGCATGTGCAACCTGAGCCCGATGCGGTTCCTGAGCCGGCATTGGAAGAGCCAGAGTCCAGTGACTTTCACAAGAAGATGGAGGCTGCGAGCGCACTCAACAAAGCAACATGGCGTAGCATGGTGCGTGCGCTAGTGACCACACTGTCGCATCCCTCGCGGCCCTTGCCAGAAGACTGGCCTCCGATGGGGCTTGATCGTACAGCACAGTTCAAGATACTCATAAAGGTGACTCTGAAGACAGCGTCTTACTGGCTTGCGGAGTGAACGATAGACTGATCACCAATTTACGCAGCTGTATCATTCAGACCACAACCAGACGGAGAGCGTGGAATGGCAGAAGATTACTCATGCCATCACCCAAGCTATCATTGCCAAGCATAAAAGTACGTAGCTGTTAGTACTACCATCTGGCCGCTGCGGCTCTGGTTGGCTAGATAAGGACTTTGCTTTGTGGATAATCTTCTGTTACTATGGCTCCTTTTCGCTAGCTACGTAGTCAGATATCTCCTAGTATGGACAAGAACGCTTACACAGTTTAGGAACTGCCAGTGCAACGTTTGGACCTCCAACATACGTCTCTTGATTCCCTGTTTCAATCACTTTCATTAAGCTACAATATATCTGTTTAATGTCTTCAGCACCGCTAGAATGATGCGGGACACC